CGGCTCCCTTTTGTGTGACAGTTCCTTCTTCAATTTCTTTCTCTCTTCTCACATTTTACTATAAGTAGAAAGAAGAAAGCGGGCCTCACCTTCAACACTTTGCTAAGAAACCATCTCAGCTCAATATCCAAGTTCATCATTTTCCAGTTCTGCTTATCACAGCAGGAAACAATTTTCTGAAACTTCCCACCGAGACCCAGCAAGACCCTCTTCCTCCATTTGCCAGTATCGTGTTCCTTGCTTGCTTCTGAGCCCTCACCAGCAGCGTTGGGGGTATCCTTCTTTCCACTCACCGTCTTTCAAAGCAAACGAGCCTGTTTCTATCATGCTCCTCAAAATTCTAACAGCCTCAGGTCACGACCTGATTCCCAAACCCCTTCCACATTTTTTTGGGTATCTTGTAGGTTAACTTCCTTGGTACCAGAATCTGCATTAGTTTTCTACTGCTACAAAATAAATGATCACAAACACAGGAGTTCAGAACAACACCCATTTATTATTTCACAGTTTCTGCACATCAGAAGTCCAGGCAGGCTCAAGCGGGTTCAAGGTATTCCCCACTGAAATCAAGGTGTCTTCTGACTGTGTTTTCGTGTGGCACTCCAGGTCCTCTTCCAGGCTCCTTCTTGTTACTGGCAGAACTTAGTTCTCCGCAGGGAGAGGACTAAGCTCCCCACTTTGTTGTCGGCAGCTGGCCTGGGGTCACGCTGAGTCCTTGCCACTCTCCATCCTTCGCACATGGCCCTCTCCATCTGCGAAGTCAGCAACAGGGCATCAAATCCTTCAAACTGGGCCCAGGCCGGTGTGGCTCAGTTGGTTGGGCATCATCCTGCAAATGGAAAGGTCACGGGTTTGTTTGCAGGTCAAGGCACATGCCTGGGTTGCAGGTTTGGTCCCCAGTCAGGGCACATACAGAAGACAGCCAACCAATGTTTTTCTCACACATTGATATTTCTTTCCCTCTTATTCTCCTTCCCTTCCTATCTCTCAAAAAATAAAAATAAAAAAAAATTAAATCATCAAACTGGGATTTTTCATTTCAACTTAGTGTGTAATTTGTGGACTTTGATTCTGATATAACCTCCCTACAATGAACTTTTCAAGCATCATGAGGCCTTGATCTGAGAGCATACCTGGATTAAGATATTTTCCTCTTTCCAGCCTCTGGCTCTTGTTATCAAATGGCAGCACCTTGTTTTCTCAAGTTTCAGGAACCCTATGAGGGTTTCCTTTATGCAACCTGTGTGCAAATCTGAAAGTCTTGCTTTTATCTTATCAGTGACAGATTATAGACTGAAATGCCAGGCACTTCCTTATGTGACATTTCTAAATTCTTCTGGAAGCAAATAATAAATGTATATAAACAAATACAAGTAATAAAATAAAATAATCCTCATTCATTTTAATTGGAATTTAGCCAAATTAAACTACCATGTATTATAATATTTGTTCACATTACAAAGGTATATTAAATAAGAAATATATTTTAAGAAGTATTACAGCTGTCAGTTATTATGCATGAAAATATTTTTGAAAAATGTTCATGTTGATGTACATTTCAATACATACTAGTTAATTTATTGATAATTCACCAAGCTAAGCAAAAATTCTACTTCATTTTCCTCTTTGAAGAAAAAGTTCCTTTTCCACTACTGACTAAAGAGGACAAAACATTTTTTTAACCTCCTTAAATTAAAAAAATTTAACCAGAGACAGAGTGATATGTTGATTAAAACCAGGACTTTTTAAAATAGAACTAGAAAAGAGAACATTGTCTGGTTATGAATTAATTTGTAAACTAATATTTCACTCAAAGTCAAACAAATTATCAGTCTCTGTTTAACCATATACTTAAATTTTCTGAGCCTTAACTCTTTAAAATACTGTTATGTTGAATACAAATGTAAATGTTGATAAACACAGAACCTAATTCTGAGAAAAGTGTCAGTGTAGGTAGATATATTTTATGTATTTATATATATTTGGACTGGATTTCTATTTATTCACATTAAGTGGCTCATTGAATTTAAGGGAAGCTGTTTAAGTCAGGGTTCCTTAATCTGGGGTCCTGTGACATAGAGATGCATTATTTCTTTATAATAACACAGACTTTGTATACGCCTGCTTTTTTTTTTCCTTTTTCCTGATGCAGAGTTTAAATTATGTGTCAAATTCTCAAAGGTTTCCATTTGTTGTACTTGAAAAATATGACCATAATATCTTGCACCTCATTCCATCCAAAGGCGGAGTCCACTTCACCCCTTGAGCCTGGCCTGTCCTTGTGAACTGCTTTGACCTATAAAACTTGGCAGAAGTGACACTAGGCGAGTTCCAGGCTCCGGCCTCAGGAGGCTTTCGGGTTCTCATGGAGCTCTGACCCCACTTGTGGGGCAGACGCCGCAGGAGAAGGCGGATGCACCTCAGCCTTTGCAGCCGGCCCAGCTGGTGACCCCGACAGGGAGTGAAGCCAGCTGAAGGAACGTGTGTGAGCCCAAAGGAGACAGCCCAGAACCACCCGGTCAACCCACACGATTCTGAGGGATAAGAAATCAGTGCTGTGTTAAGCCAACAAGCTGTAAGTTATGGTATAGGACATATAGCAAGAGATAACTGGCACACCAAAAATCTAATACCCCACAAAAAGCTGATTTAGATGTGAAAAAATGAGTTTAAATTTCAATTTTTTCCCTTTACTACAGAGCCTTTTTGGCAAATGTGCGAGAAAAGATTTTCGTCAAATTTTCATGATATTTTTCTTCTACTACTAAGCCCAAAGGTGGTAATACTCATTTTTTTTTTAAAAAGTATTATTTTACAGTATTTTTGTGATTTCTAAAAAATATTTTTGCATTGCTTTTTATTAAATAAAACTTACATATAGATTTTATCATCTTTGAAAAAGTCAAAATACCCCGTTTTGTCAATACAAGCGCTCATGGGCCTAAACCCACACACTAGGCTGGCGTTCGCCGGGCTCTGTTACTGTCTGGAAGATGGAAGGGAATGCTTGATGGCACCTCCTGTGGCAGCCACGCCACCCAGGCTTCTTACTGCCTGAGAGCAACAAGCCCTAATGTCTCAAACACTGGAGGTGGGCTTTGTTAAATGTGCTCAGACACCACCTGTAACTGCACCCACGGCCTTGATACATCCTAGTCTGTGAGGTGCACCAGCCAGGCTGGTCCAGCCGTGGTACCTGCCTGCAGGCAGCGCACAGCCTTTCAGCTGTGGGCGGTGACTCTGACCAAAACTGGACCTCCTAAAGCTGCAACCGCGATTCCACCTTAGAGGGAAGGAAGTGGGGAAAACAAAAATCCATGGCAATAAAATGTGAAATAAACTTCAAAGCAAGACAAATAAAATTCTAAATGAGTCTGAAGATGAATTACAGCTTAGCTATCACTGTAATTAATGGCATTCCATGATGGTTAGTTATCATAAAAAAGAAAAACAAAAAACAGACCCACTAAACCAAAAGTTCCCGTAAACTCTATTGGGCAGAAAGTATTTTATCATATTAGCAAATAGTTTAATGGAAATAATATGATGTACATATTTCTTATGTAAATTTTTTTCTCTAAATGTAATTTTACAACCACGAACCTGAGGGAGTCAATGACTATAAAGCTGCGCTCAAGTTAGATTTATAAACAATCTACTTGGTAATTAAAATTGCGTAAGCAAATGTAACTAAAAATTGTAGATTTTTTAAAATCAATTTTCATTGCTCTACTTCTAGATAATTTATACTCTTCTGTCTTTTTTTCTTCTTGCTTTGGAAAAGAACCTCAGGATTCGCAGTAAATGAATTAAAGTTAAATATTAAAATCAACAAGCCTCAAATGCCACGGGCAGGATGGGAGTAAAGAAAACAGAAAAGTCAGCACCGCATTGTCTGCTTCATTATCCGTTTTTCTAGTTAAGTGTGATAGCTAGATTTTGAAATTCCTAAAACCAGATGGAAATTGAGTTAATATTTGGGAAATAAACACATTCAAATCAATGGAGAATGGGAGTTGGAGAGAGTTCATGGTTTTAGCATAAGTAATCAAATAATAAAGATAGTACATATTCTACTCTATCAGTTGACAGTAAGTATATTTACTTTTCCAGCAGAAATCTGAAATCTGAATGGTCCAGGTCCATGCGAGTGCAAACTGGCTTGCCTAATTCAACAGTTCCTGCCTGTGGTCAGGCCCTTTAGAGCAGTTGGTCTGACTCTACAGTCTGACCACGACCATGGACTTTCTTCCCTAGAGTGGCCCCTGAAAGTCGTCGAACTGTCCCTGAGGGCAGGGGCAGGTGACCCAACAACTGCTTTCAGTCTCCATCGGTGGAGACCATCTCCTTTCCAGGGCGGAAGGAATGCTGCCCTATACCCCTGCTATTTTTATTTTTGCAACATTCTTCCCAGTCTTTTCCTTCCTTCTCTTAGTCCCAGGCGGAGAAAGTAAAAAGATCACCGGAATTTAATGGGTTGTAAGGGAACCCGCACAACGGAGAACGAGGACAGGCCTGGAATGACCTTTTGGGGCAAGGTAGTTAAGGCGGAGGCAGCGGGGAACTCTCCCAGCCCAGCTGCTCCTCCTAGGAGCGGATATGGCCCCAAAAGCCAGCGAGTCCCTCGGGCCTTGAAGACAAAGGAAAAGCTCAGGGCCGAGCGGTGACGGGGTGGGAGGGAGCAGCGACTCGCGTGAGCACCGGGACGTGAGAACGCAACCCCCGCCCCCTTCTCCGCCCGCCTCCCCGAGAAGGCGGAGCCCCAAAGCCGCCCAGAGAAAGGTCTCCCCGCGGCGCGAACAGCGGGTCCCAGGCGGCCGCACACGCCCTGGCACGGGCAGCGACGGGCCCGCACATTGTGGGCGGAGCGGAGCAGGGGGCGGGGCCGGCGGCGAAGAAAGGCTGCGGGCCTGGGGGGCGGGGCCTGAGCCACGGCCGGGGCGGGGCCGTGAACGGGGCGGGGCGGAGCCGGCCGGTCCGGGGCTGCTTGAGACAGTCACTGCCCTGGCGGCGGCGGCGGCGGTTGGCCGGTGGGGGCTGGGAGAAGCGCGATCCTGGCTGCCGGCGCAGCTGGAACCGGCAGTTCCCGGGGCCAAGCGGCGGCTCCAGAGCTGGGAGCTTGCCCCGGGCTGGGCGGAGCAGGCGATTGCAGCTGGAGCCCCGGGAGCGCTGGCGACGGCGGCGTTTCAGTGGAGCAAGTGCCGGGGGCTGAGATTCCACGGCGGCCACGGCGGCTGCGGCCGAGGTAACCGAGGGGCGGCGGCGGTGGGAGCTCGGGACTACCGCCGGGGCGCGGACCTGACCCACCCGCACACTTTCCAGGTTAGGACCCCAGTCGCCGCTGACCCCCCTGCTCCGCCGAGGGCCGGGAGGGGGCGGGATCGGCGCATGGGGTGGGGGCGCGGAGCCGGACCCGGACCCGGATCCGGAGGCGACCCCTCGGCAGGGATTGGCAAGGACGTCGGGCACCCCTCCCCCCTCGAAAGACACACCCCAGTGTCGGGGCGGGGCGGGCTGTCCCAGCCTCCGCGAGGGAAGACCTCGAAGGGAGGCTGCACCTCGGTCCGCGGCCCATCCGAGGTGGCCCCCCTGCGGCTTTTCGGGGCTGCTTAAACGAAGGTGGTTCTGTCGCTGGGGATCCCGGAATTCCTTTTGTCTGTCAGCTGAAACCAGCGGCCGGAACTGTAGGCAGACACCCCCCCGCGCCGGGGCTGTCGGCTCCTCACCCCTCCTGCCTCGGAGGGGATTCTCCCCGGCAGCCGTTTCTCCGGGCGCAGGAGGAGATTGCACTCCTCACCGCCACCCGAAACCTCCCCTTTTGGCGCAGAGCAAGGAAGGATTCACGTTGTACTGTGTTTGGATTTATCATTCGTGTGAGATCATCCCCCTCCTCCCCCTTTTCTTTTAACCCGTTGCCACCCAGACTCCGCCATGGCAATCATCCCCTAGATGTTGCAAACTATCAACAAAGAAGTGCGGCTAGTCAAGTAAACAGAGTCCTTGACTGGCTGGACGGTGCGAGTTAATAGAACCTCCTGAGCTGGCGCTCTTCTACCAAGCTAGTGGGAAGATCTTTGTGGCTAGGCTCAAAGATGTTACTGTATGTGCACGTCGTCTTTTTCCCTTCTTCAACAGTGAGGATTTAAAAACCCAGGGTAACTTGATTAAAATGTAGATCTATGGGAATTATAACCATAGAAGAAGAAAAATACAGGAAAAAAGTAATCATGATTTTAGGGTAATTGGCCAACTTTTCCAAAGTGCAAAAAATGTAGTATATGGATTTTTGAGATTAACTGGTAAGTTGTATCCTTCGATATAGTAAGCTTTCAACATAGATTTTTGCACTAAGATATTTTACTTCTGTTACTGGTGGAAATTGTTGATTACCAGGACATCTTACAACGAGGAAGCTGTGAACAGGCTCATTAAGACTCTCTGTTGAAAAATGCATTTTATGAATGCTTTGCATTAAGAGGTGTTAACATTGGCCTGTCATTTCTGCCACATAGCTGCCTCCCTGGCATCTTCCATATGCCTCAAAGTGGCAGGTCTAGTAGCTGGAGAGGCTGTCCTTAAATGAGAAGTACAGAGCTACCGGCCTACTGTATAAAGGTAACCTCTTTGATGACATTTACTCTAATGGACACCTTTTCTGATCTAATTTTCAGATACAGAATTAACACTTGGAGTCTGGAGAAGCATTTTGTACAAATTGAAAGACTGGGCTTTCTCTTTAGTTTTCCAGATGTATTGTCTTATCTGCATACTTGAAAGATCCACAATCACATAAACTCTAGTTTTAACCATGGAGTTGTGTGACCCATCAAGATAGAGAAAAACTGCAGCTGAGCTTGGGGACCAGGCAATTTTTCACCAGTTCGACAATTAAACTAATAGATTCTCTGCCGATCTTCAAGAATAAAGAACCAAATAAAGTCATGCACATTCTATTGACACATGGACCCTGTGGCTGTTGAATTTTACCATAACTTGTTACTCTGTCATTCAAAGTTAACTTAATATGCCCGTTACGTCCTAATGGATGTAAAGACCTGTTGATGTATCCCGATTTTAGCAAATGTTGAAGATACAAACCCTATTATGACCAATCCTTGGGAAGAGAAAGTCTGCAAAATGGCTCAGACGAGTTTACTGCAGGGGAAGCAGTTTTACTGTAGGGAGTGGGTTTTCCACAAGCTTCAGCACTGCCTCCAGGAGAAGACAAACTGCTGCAACAGCGCCGTCACCACGCCGCCCCTCTCAGTGAACCCTGGGAGTAACGCCAGTGCTGCCTCTGGAAAAGGGGCTGCCTGGGGGGTGCTGTTGGTAGGGGGGCCCGGAAGTGGCAAGACAGCCCTGTGCACGGAGCTCTTGTGGCCAAGTTCGCCTACAGGCCTGCAGAGAGGTTTGCATCGCCAGGCCTTGGCCTTCCATTTCTGCAAAGCCCAGGACGCGGACACGCTGTGCGTCGGAGGCTTCATCAGAGGCCTCGTGGCCCAGATCTGCCACAGCGGGCTGCTCCAGGGCTACGAGGACAAGCTGAGGGACCCGGCGGTCCAGAGCCTCTTGCAGCCCGGGGAATGCGAGAGGAACCCAGCGGAAGCGTTTAAAAGGTAACAATAGGAATGTCATGGTGATCCAGTTTCTGCGCAAAAATTAAAATGGTTTTTAGATTTTTTTAGGTTTTTTTTTTTTTTTAACTGTGGGGTACTTATAACGTTGATGCAAATTTGGGGACAATCTGTCATGTGAATAAACCAATCTGAATATTGAAGGAAATAAAATTTAAGTTTTGTTTGCACAGGCAATGGATTCAAAGTATGTCTTTTATAATAGAATTTGAAGCACTGTGAGAAACAAATTGTTTTTCAAATTTATGCCAACTATTTACTTACTTTTCTAGTGTTACCTATAATTAGTAAGGCATACCTGTTCTTACAGTAGAGAACATTTAGCTACCTGGAAACAAGGCTGCATTTGTAGGAAGGGAAAACTGGACATGGTCCTGAGTTTAGAGAAACTCTCATCATAGAATCTACTATCTTTGCTTATAGTGTTTTTCCTGTAAATAAGAAAAGTTCTCTTTGAAAGAGGCCACTGGTCATTGAGAATCTGAAGAAAGTGCTAATGTGTTTTGTGATTTATTCACCTTTCAAGTAAATGAAAATTCCAGCAATATTTTGGTATATATGATCTTGACAAAATAGTGAAATTTAGCATCATTTTAGTACTTCTAGCAAGTAATACAAAAAAAAGTTTAACTAATTTTAGTTAAGCAGTTTTCCATAGTAAAAGGATTGGCCTAAGAAGAGATTTTTTTTTAAAAAGAGTGGTTCCAGATTCAAAATGTGCTGTAAAAAAATGATTCCTTGAAAATCATTTTTTGTGCATTATCCCTCTGCTCATTGTAAAATAAGGAGGCAAGTTGTTGTTTTGTGATCGCTATTGCCTCGCTGTGGCTTTAGTCACTTTTTCATATGCTTTTGCCCCCTGCACGGTAAGTAGTTCTTAGCGGGCTCAAGCTGTTTCCCAGAGATGCAGGGATCCTCTGCGCCGAATCCAGTGTGAGTGTGTGAGAGAGAGAGCGTGCATGAGTCTGTAGGAGTCATTTGAGTAGGAGTTGAATCGTCGTGAAAGTGGTTTTGTTATTTTGATGTCCTCAGGTCTAATGGTATGAAACCTATGAATTTTGGCGTAATGTTGAAAATAATAATAGTAGTGATCACTTTGAGTCACTATTCTAAGTGCTGTACCGATGTTAAATCATTAAATCTTCATCATAGTCCTGTGAGGCAGGTACTATTACTAGTCCCATTTTATAGATGAGGAAACTGGAGCCTGAGAGCCCAAGAAACTTGTCTAAGGTTACGGGTTGGTGAAGGGCAGAGCTGGGATTGGAAAGACGTGCATGTGTATAGGTTTGTGGTCATAGAAATTCTTTGGAGGACTTAAGGGGAAGAGGAGCAGTTTCAAAGTTTGTGGAGACCAGGAGTGTGTGTCCGACTTGTGGCTCGAGTGTGGTTTTCAGATTATCCATGTACCGTGATGTGTGGCAGTCTGGAATGATCGTTACGACTAGTGGGATAGAATTCCAACAGGTGAGAGGTTTATTAAAGTCAGCAAAGGGTAGTGTCTTTGAGAGCTGTGATATTCCTGTAGACCTTTTAAAATGTGTAAGTGCTAGCCAATAAAACTTGGCAAATCTGTTATCTTTTGCTGTTAGCAATCAAAATCTGGGTTAACACCATTACATCATTCTTAGCTCAGAGAGGAAATCTGCTAGGTGAGGCCTGCAGCGCAGGCATGAGCGGCCAGGCTTGTTGGATAGTGCTCCACACGCAATCACGGTGTGGAGTCAAATGCCGCCCTTAATGTAAAACTTTACTTTTGAAGACGCTTCAAGTCTCTGTACACAAACACCCCTTTTCCTCTTGACTTAATGCTTTTTCTAAAGATACTGTCTCTAGTTGAAGAGCTGAATTTCCATTTCTTATAAAAATCATTTCATAGGCTACTTGGGTTTCTTGACACCTTAGAAAAACAGCTTCCAAGAGTATAGTCTAAGTTTAACTTAGTCTAACTAACTATGCACTTTATTTTATTGGAATTCATATTAAAATTCTACTGCTTTTAAATATTTGAAATCATGTCTGATAACTGTATATTTTTGATATGTTCTGATCCGGAGCAAATCTTTCTCTACTGTTCCTGTGTGAATATTAGTTGTTAATTAATTAGAGGGGAAATAAAGAGCAACTGGAGCTGTGTGTGAAGTTCACACTGGTACCAACCACCTGAGTGACGGAAGGAGCGGACACTTTGTACGTCTGTCTGTATTTTGGTAGATAAAACCCACTGCTCTTACTTGGACCACTGTGGTGCCGTAGCTTAACCTCCTACAGGAGCTTTCAGAAGCCTGGGTCACTTTTTAATCCTTAAATTAATTAATCATTAAATAAACAAGATAGTCTCGGTATTACAACAGCTGTTTCTGATAATTCATTAGGTGTATACTTCCTCTATGACTGTGAAGCTATAATATTACCACAGCCAAATATACACATGAGAACACAAGTCAAAGTTGAAAAGAAACATTTTTGCATGGTCTGCGGCATTCGGGGGGCTATGCCTCTACTTTTGGAGAGAGTTGAGGCTTTATTGTAGGTTCTATTAATGACTGTGACTGATTTGCTAAGTAGGTCCTTTTAGGAATTTTAATCGGAATATATTTTATTTGGACAGGATGGGTACAATTCAACAGGTGGACAATGGGCAAAAGATCATTGTTTTCAAGGAGTTAATATCTTGAGGGAGATGGAGACCAAAGTAGCTAATTATAACGAAAGGATCAAGCACCAGAGTTAGGGAATCAGGGGTGGGGTGCTGGTTTGGGGCCCTGTGCCTGGTTTAGAAGCACAGCTGACATGATGGTTATTTCATTCAACGAGAAGCCCCTCTCTGACCTCCTGTCCCCACTGTCTTGGTCCTTGAACCCAAAGGGTCGTTTTTGGAGATTTAGATGGATGTGGGAAATAAACACCTTTGTTTCTGGTGGATCTCAGTCCTAGCTTTTATTTGCTTAACAATCTGCAAGACCAGGTGTGAGTTTTCTATGCATGATGTCAGCTTTTCCCATGCTGACTTAAAGGTTGTGTTCTGCGTGATGTTGACAGGAGCTCATCAGACATCTTCAGGGCTACCGCAAATGAAGTGTGAATGGAATAAAACTGTGATGAGGAATTAAGGGTGAATGGTTCTAAACCTTGAGAGTTTAGCAGAAATGTGCAAGTGGTGAAAGGTAGCAGTGGCTTGTTAGGATTGAAAACTGGAAGTCTGAACACTGACATTTGTTTTTCATGTTGAATAAGGATTCTTAAATAGGGGGATTTTCTATTTATCTCCTTCTCCTTGAATATTTATAGATCTTCACGTGTATCTGTAAGTTTTAGCTTCTTTTGTAGTTATTTATGCATGTCTTCTGTTTTCTCCTTTATTAGGCATATGCTTCTTCATGACATTATTCATGAGTGATTAATTTTTTATATTCACAATCATGCTTTGGACAGCACTTTTCATATAGTAATTGCTCAATGATTATCAACTGAACAACCGGATAATGCTACTTAACTATCTAGAATATGTTTGAATCTAACTGAAGGACAGCTGAAGCTCTTGCCTGTGAAAGGAAATAGAAATGTTCTTTCATTTAGGTCAGTTTTAAATGCAGGCCAAACTGGTGTAGTGATTATTAATTTATTCACCTGCTGTCCGCTCTTTAGCATGTATGTACTTGGCATAGGTCCAGAGGGTGTTAAGTGGCAGATGTCTATCTTCTGTCTCAGCGGGCTCCAGGTATTTTTGGCAAACTCGATAAAAGGACGGAGAACAGAATGGGGCTGGAACGTGTGCTTCCTTCTTACCCTCAGTCGTGGTTATTCTCAAGGCAAAATTATATTATCTGCCTTGTATAACTAATACTTTTTAAGATAACTGTTACTGAGTATTACCCATTCCTAAATATTTTCAGATTAAAAGATGATGTGAAAGTGCCTTTTCTATTCACATTTTGAGTAATATAAAAGAATATTATTTTCATAATGAAAATTCTACTTTGTCTTTAGTCTAAGATTGCCACTTTTCACTGAAATAACTGTTGTTTTCAACTTTTAACTGTTAAATTTACTTTAAGATGGCCTTCCATTCATTATCTGCTACTTTTACTTCCTAAAATCTTTTCTTTCTACCCTACATGGGCTTTCTGTTTTATACTTTATGTCTAAGTGCTGCTTCCTTTGGTTCCTGGTACTATTTATTATTTATCATTTGCTGAACTGGTCCTTAACCTTTAATCACTTCAGCATAATAATAGCACAACATATGAGTCCATATTTATACTGTCTAATGGTAACCATGTTCTTAGTTCTGCTTGGCCATGCTTCTATCTGTGTACTTCTTGATAACTCAGACTTTTTTTTTTTTTGGACCAGAGAAAGTGGTGCCCTACAGGTTGAATATGTTTTTTACCCAATTCAGGAAATTGCACACACATATCCAAATTATTGTTTTCCTTGGGGGGAAAAAAAGTAAATTTTGACAATGTTAGATTCTCATTCCTTTGAGGCAGTAAACTTGTTGAGCCGAGTTAGCTGCTGTCTTTAGATGGGCCTGCACATCCTAATTTGCCCAGTCCCCCCCACGCACTGCCCCCCACCGGACACCCACACTCTATTTTTCTATCCCAAGACTATTTGTTCATTTGTTTATATATGAGGTCTGTCCAGGAAAAGTCCAGCCATTGTTAATATAGTGAGAATGGTTTGCACAATATCCACGTAACCTGGCAAACAAGGAGAGTGGACTGGATGCACACGCATGAACAATGTCGACGTCACTGTACTAGTCAGTGGGGGCGTTAGAGGCCATTGAGTGAGCATGCGTACTGTGTGGCCGTCACATTCAAAATGACTGAGTGAGTAGAGCAATGAATCTGCATCAAATTGTGAGTTACACTTGAACATTTCTCTGTGGAAACTATTCGGATGATTCAGGAGGCTCTTGGGGACACTGCAATGAATGCAGAGCAAGTAGAAGTGTGGCACAAACACTTCAAAAA